GCACCCCTATTAATCAAAATTGCAAAGGCTTTAGATGCTGTGTTTCAGGAACAAAAACAAAATAACCTTTTATGATACCATAGAGCATTAAAGTTAGACAGTGGGAAAGCACTAGATGATCTTTAAAGTTCTAATGAGCCTTGGAGAACAGGAGTTTTTATTGGAATGCACAAAATTGACAGGAAGTCAAGTTATAGGGTCTCCAGAATTGACATAGGACACGGGGATAGAAGACATCTCTTGAAGTTGCTTATGCTTAGCAAGCCTCCACTTTTACTTCATATGTACAAGGAGTGAAGGAAGTTGGTATGGGATGACAGAGATCATGGAAGATCAAACTGCCTGTAAATTTCCTTCTGCTTTTAAGCTGAGGAAGAAGAATCATGCCTTGGGATGAATCACATACTTGGTGTAACATTCAGTTTGGAGTTTGCTTGGCGTCAACATACTTTCCTTCACCATCTTCCAGAGCCTTTAAAAAGGATGCTGGCTGACAAACACATACTTTATATGAATAGTGAGGAAGAGTTGGACTATTTAGGAAGAATCTGAATTCTACCTTTGAGTTGGTGTGACAAATACCAGGAAAGTGCTTGTGAACAGCAAGATAATTCATCAACTAAACCACAGCAGAAACTGCCAGGGGCAAACTAGAAAGCTAAAGCCTTTTTCCTGTATTAGTAGGAATCTGATGGAAACCAGGGAATGGCTTCAGATTTTCATGGGACTTGGTGTGGAAGGGATGTAGAGCCTTGTCTCTGGATTTATTAGACTAGCAGTTGTGTAGCTGTCTGGTATCAGGACTTTTAACACTCTTGAAAAATATTGACACTTCAATGCGCTTTGGTGTATATGTGTTATATCTATTAATAGTTAACATTTTAAAAACTAAAACGAAGATCTTTAAAAGTTGTTAATTTGAATTTTCTATTTTAAACTAATAAACCTACTACAGGTTGCAAAAGAATACATTTTTTATGAAAAACAATTATATTTTCCAAAAAAATTCTTATTAAGAAAAATGACACTTTTTTACATTTTTGAAAATCTTTGTAGTGTCTAGTTTAAGGCAGCTGAAATCCCACAGATGTTTCTGCATTCATTCTGTTGAGATACTACATGTCATATAACTGCTGGAAAATTCTGCTATACACTCATAAGAGAATGAGAGTAAAAAAGATGTAATGTGAAAAAAAAGGCAAATAATATCTTAGAATTTTTATGAAAAGAGTTTTGACCTTGCAAGCCTCCACTTTGAGAACTGCTATCCTAAACTCTGAAGAATATTTCCATGTCTCCCTGATCTTTGTTTGCTCTTTTGCTTTTCTCTACATGTGAAAAGGCTGGTGAAGTACAGAACAGTTGAACTTTGTTCAAACAATATCTTCCCATATATTCCACAGAATTCAGACTCTTCCAAATGCAAGGCTAATTCAAGGACATTGGATAGTCTTTTTGACCAGCCTTCCTTTACAGTCGGTAGTAGTATTCATACAGTTTGCCACCCACAGGAGAAGTTTGAGATGAGTTGTTGATTTAAAGGGGAAGCTGGCATCATTACATTGTCACTGAAATTAAGATTTTTACATTGCATGGTTTTAAATTTTCATAATTCAGGTTCTTCACTGCCTAGAAGGAAGCCCTTAATGACAGGTAGTGAGCAGGCTTGGTGGAGGGGTGACAGAAGTGCTTCGAAGGCATCTGACTCATTCTCTATCCCTGTCCAACCTTTTAGCTTTATGGAAAGTAGATATACTATGTAGGGCAATGTAGAATCTTTGCCTCACGGGGTCTTCAAAAGTAGGAGTATCACCTGTCTTTATCCCACAAATTGAAGCGTAGGCTGGTGAGCTGAAGCTCTTTCTGAAGCTTGGCACTATTAAGATGTCACACAAATGTCTTTTCCAAGCCTGTGAGTAGCTTAGGGATCCCATTACCTCTGGTCTCCATCCACAAAGTGGTTTGAGTTCTGGCGGAGGGCACACAGGTGAGTGGGCCAGCTGTGGGTCCCTGGCATGTGTGAGCAAGTGCAAAAATGGTGAAAGCACTAGATGTTCATTAGCAGTGACTTATTAAGAGCTGATGAGGATTCTCTGCTCCTAAGCAGCCACTACTGCAAAACACATTTTTCCTCATTGTCTAAATCTGTCATGCTTAAATGACCATTATTTCATATTCATCCTGTGTGTAAAGTTCTATAAGCACCAACAGCATTTGATACAAGTAGGCCAGAGTCTGTTGACATGGTAAGAATATTCTTCCCAAGTAAATAAAGGTCAGCATTAATGATATATGCACAGGGGAGGCTAGGTACCCCTACATGGTACTCGTTTTTCTAGAAGGACATGGCCTTTCTCCCTGAAGAGGCTGTTTGGAAAATCTGAGTTTCTGTGCATTTCAATCTCAAATGCATGTAGATGGAAACCATGTGTAAAGTAGTCCTTTGATGTTAGACTCCTAGTTCAGACTTTTTTCTTTTTCTTCCTCTATTTAAATTCAATTTGGAGGATTTGTAGATTCACATGGATTTGTAAGAAATAAGCTAGCTAGAAATAAGGTAGATTCACTACCCTTTACTGAATTTCCTCCAATGGTAGGTAATAGCTTGAAAAAAACTGTAGCACAATATCACAGTTGGAACTCTCGCAGAAGATTCAGAAGGCTTTTGAGACCTCCCTGACTTCAGAAAGGAGTAATTCTGGGAATGATCCACTGGTAAGGAACTGGAGGGTGCAGGGAGGCATCTGGGCTCTCTGGTTGGAAGTGGCAGATGTTGATGCCCTGCATGAGGACATCTTTGTGTTGCAGTGATGTGGTGCCGTCCTTACCTGGCCCTGTAGCTTTGAGTAGCTGTATCCCTTGGCCTGTTGGCTGGGTTTGTGTGAATACTGTGGTTGAGATGCCAGCCCTGGACTTGGTTCCTAGCTACTTCTTTTTTAGATGGATGACCTTAGCCATCTCCTCTTGTAGATGCAGCTTTTTATAATATCTTGTGTAGCATTATGTTAGTCAGTTTTCTGTTACTATAACAAAGACCTAAGATAATGAACTTATTTGGAGAAAAGGCATGTTTTGGCTTGCAGTTTTCAGTCCATGATCTGTTGACCCCAATGTTTTGGGCCTGTGGTGAGGCACACATCGTAGGGTGAGCAAATGGCAGGGAAAAACTTCTTGCCTCATGACCAAAGAAGGAAAGAGAAAGAAAGAGGAAGATGCATCTTCCCCCACCCAGTTCCCCTCAGGAGTATGCCCCAGTGTTCTGAAAACTTCCCACTAGGCCCCCCTTCTTAAAAGTCCTATTACTACTCAAGAATGCCATACCATGGACTAAGCACTTTAACACATTGGCCTTTGAGGCACACATCAGAGTCAAGCTATAGCAAACACCATGTATCAGACACTATTCTAGGGATTTTATGTAATAACTTGTTTAACATCAGCAACTCTTTTTACTGTTTTGCTAATGAAGAGACTGAGGCATAGAAAGGCTATTTGCCGCGATCACCAGCTACTGAATGTCAAGGTTGTATACTTGAACCAAAATAGTACTCATGCCAAGTCCACATACTTAACCACTGTTCTGCATTGCTTCTCTTCAAATATGAGCTGGGTTCAGTGGTAGCTCACTGGATTTCTATAAGACAAACTTCTGTGCTTAGCACAGTTCCCAGTAGGTAGTAAGCACCAATAAATGCTAATTAACACTATACTTAGAAAATTTTTGCAGAGGTTTTAGGTTATTCGTGACTTTCTGTTATTAACCTGTAACTTACAGTTTGATTACCTGATAAGTGCCAAACTTTCATCTAGTCCTCCCAACTTCCCAATAGAAGGAATCCTTTTGTTGATGAAAAAATAAGAATCAGGGAGTTGAAATCTAGCAGTGAAAGAGACAGGATTCAAACTCAAGAGCTGCATCTTAGAATTACAGCAGTGGAGAGAACTTGAGAGATGCCAGTCTAATTTTATACCCAGCCCAGAACCTGCCCTTGGAAAGTTACTTACTTTGAAAAGCCTGGTCGCAGAGGACTTATTTCTTACACCAGCAGTTCTTGTGCTTACTATGTGCCAATCCCCTGCAGTCATTGTTACAAAACAGAGCGTTATCCCTTTCCCCCACAGAGTCACTAGCTTTGTAGGACCTGCACATATCTCACAGATCTCCATGGGATCCTAATGACGCTCCTTCTCCAGGGCCTTAGTTTGAGGATAATTGTTCTTAAGGCAACTTCTTAGAATATATATCTTAGTTCATTTTCTGTTGCTGTAACTGAATACCTGATATTGGGAAATAAAGAAAAATTTTTTTATTTCTTGCTATTTAGGAAGCTGGGAAGTCCAAGAGCATGGCACTGACATCTGCTCAGTATCTGGTGGGGCCTTCTTGTTGCATCATAACGTGGCTGAGGGCATCACATGGTGAGATAGAACAAGCTTACTAGCTCAGGTTTCTCTTCCTCTCCTTAGAAAGTCACTGATGCCCTCAAGGGAGCCCCAACTTCATGACCTCATCTAATCCTAATTATTTCCCAAAGGCCCCTCCTCAAAATATCATTAACATTCATTTGGAAATTAAGTTTCTAAGACAAGTACTTTTGGAGGACACATTCAAACCGCAACAGTGGCGATGGTAGTAGTTACACTTCCTCCAGCTGTGCCCTTTTCATATCTGAGTCAGGTTTCTCCAGAAGCCTTAGTACCAGACATAAGTTCTTCTGTCTTAGTTCTCCTCCATGCAGTATTCTTAAGATTGTGTCCTCAGCAGCCTGGCTATGGAAAAAAAATCCTTTCCCTACCGCATTACCTTTTCCTTTGGAAGAGTAATTCCTCCTTTTAACTCCAGAGAACACCTGCTTTTGCTTTTCTGATTCAAAGCAAACAGAACAATATAAAATCTTCATATTGTTCAAAATTGAAAATGTACCCCAAAGAGGAGGAGATAAAGATGAAAATTAAAACTAACCACCAAGCCACTGTTAACATTTTTATGTTTTGGTTTATTTACTCATTTTATTACTTTGTGTATACAGTCAGCAGGTTCCACAACAGTGGATACAATCAACAGCAGATTGAAAATATTTGGGGGAAAATTGCATCTGTACTAAACATAGACATTTTTCTATTATTCTCTAAAGAATATAGTAGTACAACTATTTACATAGCATTTAAATTGTACTGGGTATTATACATCATTTAGAGATGATTTAAAGCCTGTGTAAGAATGTGCATAGGTTATATATAAATACGATGCTATTTTATATCAGGGACTTGAGCATTTGCAGATTTTGGCATCAGAGGAGGATCTTGAAACTAGTTCCCTGTGAATAATGAGGAACAGCAGTATCTTAAATATTGGAATAAAAAATGTATGTAAGACTTATCCTAAAAAGAAAGGCAGTATACTAAGTGTGCTCTGTAAATGGGAGCTGATATTGTGCTTATTGCGGAATTAAAAGAAGGAACTACGGTTTGCTAAGGAGAGTTTTTTGGATGAGTTAGGTAGGTTTTTGAGCCAATAGGGAAATCACAGGCACAGAGGTGACAGTCCTGGTCATTTGTGGGTTAGAGGGTGACACAGTAGGAAACAGGTATGAGTGTATTGAGTAAGGGCAGATAATAGAGAGGTAACTGGCTGGCTTCTGCTTGGAGGTACTAGGGTGCCAGTGCACATTCTCCAGCAGGAAATTACTTAGATTTCTCAAAGGTCAACCATGCAACAGAGGACAGGATGTTTGGAGGGCAAGGAAGGAAGGAAGGCTGTTCGAGTGAGGAACAGCTCCAGGGAATCACCCAGTCCTCTGTGACCCATGCTCCCAGGGCATGGTAGAGTTCAGTCTACTTCTGGGCCGCCAAGATGGAGAGAGAGCGGTTGAGTTTTACCATGACGATAATGAGGAGGCCTCCGGTCAGCAGGAAGGTGGGCCAGAAGAGGGAGAAAAGAAGGGCTTGGGGCCCATAGAGGCGCCGGTACAGAACAGTCGTCTCATTTTCCCGAGTCGTGGAGAAGCAGTAGAAAACCTTTTTTGCGAGGAAATTGGCTCTGACCTTCTCCACGTCAGCCCGGGCCATCTGGTAATTTTCCAGGCTGACTGGGATGTAGGAGCACTGTTGGGGAGAAGCAAAAGCGCTCATGGATTTGCAAATTTTTGTTTTTTAGGGCCTAAAGGCGAGAGCCCTGAATGGAGTAAAGATAAACGCTGGCTTTGGAATTGCCCATCGATAGATGTTGGGACTTGTGTTTGTGCACTGCACAATCCTGAAAGGCACATTCAGTGTCAGAGGCATAGAAGTGGGCCTGACAGCCACTTGGTGCATGCCACATGCCTAGATGCAAAGTTGGAGCAGGGTTCTACTTCTACTGGCTGTAGAATCATAGATAAATTGTTTACCCTTTCTGGGCCTTCATACCTCCATCACTTAAATAGGTTAGAAGCAGTATCATTTTCAAAGGACATTATTAAAGAAGGATTTATACATAACTATCTAAAGGAGACCAGTGGGTGACACAAGCCAAAGGGCTAATGGACTCTGTATTTGGATTCAGAACAGAAATCATGGGCTTAATTGCCTACAGGGTTTATGCAGGTAACATCAGCAAGGGAAGCAAGCCAGGCAGTGAGGAGATGAAAGGTGCAGATGGGCCTTGCTTGTGTAGGAGAGGATTGTCAGGGAGTGGTGGTGCTGTGAAAAGGGTAGAGCCAGCTGCATCCAGACCGGCAGTCACCAGTCCCTCTGAACAATGGGATATGGGCCATCCAGGAGATCTGTAGTAGCCTGTTGATAAGTCAAGGGATATCAGAAAACCAGATTTTAACATGAACTTTCACAATTTAAAAATGTTGGCGGCAATTCACATTGAAAACTCTTTGAAGTCTAACCCTGTTTGAGCCAAACAAAATTTGTTGGCAAGCTGGTATTCTGACGCTAGAATCCAGGAGAAAGAATGGGTTGAAAAGAGCCTTAGGCAGGCAGAGCATGATACATGTTTAATTCTGACACTGATCATTGTTATTAGGAAGCGTCTGACCAGTTCTAATGAGGCCCAGCTGGAAAATTCTGCAAAGAAAGCAAGAAATAGAGACCTTAGTTTTATGTCTGTCCTATGCTGTGCAGCATGTGACCCTCTGGGAAATATTTTTCAAGTGTGGTCCCCGCTGTACAAAGAATACTTGGGGGCTGCTCGTTAGCACAGGCTCCTGCCATCCAAATTGCTGAGCATGGGCCCGGGGATGTGTGCTTCCTTCAAGTGCTGAGGTCTAAGGACACCACCCAAGTAAAACTATTTCCCAAGATAAAATATATAAATGAAGCCTAAATGGCATGTATCGAGGCTACTTCTCTCCAGGCCTCAGTGACTGTCTGGATTTGAAGGAGGTCTCCAATTCTAAAGCTGCCTGCCCTGATGATACTCAGTCCCACAGCATAGAGATGTTTGCATTGCAGTTCTGTCTGGGAAATGGGGCAACTGCACTCAGCCTCAGGTCCCCATCTAGCCAGGGATCGGGCATTTAGAGCTATGAGGTGTTCATAAGCCTGTGGTCCAATCCCAAGATGAGGGCTCGATGGCCTGGCCTGAGTGTCCCTAGTGCATTTGACCATGACCTTGAATAACTGTCTGTTCAGCAGAGGTATGGCTATGGAGTCAGACAGGCCTACATTCAACTACCAGCTCTGTTATTTGACCTTGGCAACTGCCACAACCAATGTGAGCCTTGTAAAATGGGTTGGTGAGGGTGCCTGCTTGGCAGAACTGTCCTGGAGATTAAACTGAATGATTCGTGTAACGCAATTAGCACAGAGCCCTACACATGTTGAGTCCTCAGAAATAGAAGATGTTGTTAGTATCATCTAATGATATTATCAATATATCTATGAATTGTGATAGCTGCTTCTCTCCTTTATTAAACAGTGGCCCATGGATGAGATCTGACATAGTAAGGTCTTTTGCCCACCCCAGAGCCCCATTTCCCTGTTTGGTGTTTCTCTGGGTCCTTCATGCTGGCCTGTGTGACAAGATGCTAGGATTCACTCAGTGGCACCCACAGAGGCCTGAGGTTGCTTCACCTCCTCTCCCTGCCCAAGGCCCAGCTATCCCTGAGTTACCATACTTGGATAATCTGAAATGATTCAGCTTTCTCCCCAAACCCTAAATCTTCATTGTTCTCAGCATGGGCAATGGGAGGAATTCAGGTTGCATTCTTCAGGCTAAGACTTGGGGGAAAACCTGAGAGCAAACTGTGGCCTCTTCCTTAGAGGAGACCAAATGAGGCAGCCTTGCTGGCCTTTTACACCAGCTGACATGGAACAGGCTTCCTGCACCCCTGTGCTGAATTAAGGGGAAGGAGCACCACCAGCCGGGATCTTGACCAAACCGTGAAGGGAACTTGCATGGTACCTGCAGCCTAATTAGCACTGATGCTGGTGCTGCTGGGTGCTATGACTCAGAAGACAGGACAGCACTGGCCTCAGTGCCTCCTGCCTACACCAGGGGAAGGCTCTTCATGCTGCTGAAGCTTATCTGTGAGACAAACTGCACTCTGGCTTCTCTGAGTGGCAGCCTCATTATTAGGAGACAATGTGCAAGCCAGCCTGTACCCAGCCCTCTCACACTCAAGGAAAATGGCACCACCATCACATCTGCTTACACTGAAAATGTGTTCCTTGCTCCTGGGACACTGATTGCCGGAAGGGAGGCATGGACCAGGCATAGGAGCTAATTCTTATGGGTGGGTTCTGAGGCTGCCTTCCTGGGGTTAGGCTGCAGCTTGCAGTGGTGACGGAGCATGTCTGACCCTTGAGTGCTGCCTAGATCTGCTTCTCCCTGACTGCTCTATGTTATTGAGATCCTGCAACTTCTACCCCTACCCTAGGCACCCTATCCCTTCCCATCCCATCCCAAAATTCTGTCTCCATTCATACATGCTGTGAGTCTGTGTCTCTCTGTCCAGTAAGCGAACCCATAGGCTGCCAGCTCAGTCTCCTGGAGCCCTCTGATCACACCCTCAGGGTTTTGGTTGCTCACAGCAGTGATAACCAACCTTAGAATCACTGGCAGAGCTCTATAAACTGATCCATGCCCAGACATTGTGCTTCAGTTGGTCTTGTGCAGGAGTCTGGTGGGTGGGTGGGGGTGTCTCATGCACAGCCAGAGCTAAGACAGCCAGGGCTCACAACCTGACATTTAATTCTGCAGTTGAATAGCTGAAGTATTTTTCAGACAGCCCTTAGACTACCCTTGCTGCCTGTTCCAGCTACATGCACCCTGTCAGCTGTTGTTTTCTGTAATCAGCCTTCCAACCCTGCCACTTCTCAACCCTTCTCTCCATCATTCCTGTGCCAGGGCCCACTTGTGAGAGGGATTCCTCCTCCCAGTCCCTGTGTATCTAGGGCTTGCCTGACTAAAACAGCATAACCCGGGGCCCTTCTGAGACCTCACCTCACTGTCTGGAGAACATGACTTGCTCCTTTAACCCCAGTAACTAACTCTCTGTTGCTCTGTGACACCTGTCTTTCCCACTAGGTATTGTCCAGCTATAAATGCTCTTCTCTTGAATACGATAGCCCAGACATGGGGTGTGCTGATTGTTGAACAAATGAATGGAAGGAAGGAAGGAAGGAAGGAAAAGGGAAGGGAAGGCAGAGGAGGGGAGGAGACAAGGAGGGAATGGAAAAGGAGGGAGGACAAAACGAGGAAGGAAGGAAGCTGGAGTAGGTTAGTCACGAGATGAGGAGGAGTGAAAGAGAAGGAAGAGAGGCAGAATGAGTGGGAGGAGGAAGGGGGAAGAAGGAAGAGAAGAGAACAGGGTGGAGGGAGGGAGGGAGGAAGGAGGAAGAAAGGAAGGAAGGAAAATCAGGCACTTTGTCTTTTCTTTAGGAAGGCTGTGGTTTTTTTTTTTTTTTTTGGATAGGGAGGGTGGGACTCTGAGAGGTAGCATGGGTAAACCTCGTAAACATTTGTCTGCAGAGGTTGCTGCAGCCCAGGTCACTGGCTCCCTGGGGACTCATGGGTTTCCAACTGTGGGGCTGGTTCTGGGTCTGTCCTCTGGTTTGACTTCATGGATGGAGCAGACATAATGACACTACACTATAACTACTGTTTCTGCTCTGAGCTCCCAGTACCCACCTGACACCAATCTTGGCACATTACTCAGTATCCCTCACTTCACCACAGCACTTTCTATTGCAACATTCATATCCCATTTGACAAAGATGGAAACGAGGCTTCCAGGGACCAAGCGGCCTATCCTAGTGGCAGATTCAAATCCATGAGGCTTGACCTCATGCCAGCAGCAATACCTTTCTCAAGTGAGTTAATCTTTCTCAGGCTTGGAGACAGAGATAGGGAAGGCACACATACCCCTCTTCTGGTTCAGTACCTGCTGGTTCTGGTCCCGAGTGTCCTCAGTGTGATACAGTACAGCCCACCTGCCCACAGCTGATACGTTGACCCACAGGCATGGGTACTGGGGCACCTTCTTGCCCTCCAGCTCCTCCTGGTCCCTGATGTTGGTCTCAATCAGGTGGCAGGTGGATTCCTGTGTCCACACACTAGGGAAACCACACACATACTCGTGTACAAGTAGAGAGACATTTTAGAACTACACTGACACAGACCACCCAGTTTGAGCCCAGATCCCTTAGAAGCCTTTAGAGACCCAGGGCCAGGATCCTCATCTTGCAGCACTAAAGATGCAGGACTCGAGTCTTCAGCACAGGGAGGAATCATTAGGTCAGTGTATCAGAGCTGTTCAGGACCTGGGACATCATCTACATAAGTCGCTCTTGACCCCGGCCGGATACTCACCCAAAAACTTAGCTTTTGAAAAGATTCTCCTATCCAAGCCACAGTGAATTTCTCAGGTAGCTTTGTGTGTTTTATTTTTTAAAGCTCCTCAAAGTGGTTCTGATAGGCAGCCAGGCCTAAGCCGCATTCACATCATCTTCATCTTGCAGAGGTGGATGAGAAGCTCAGCTAGACCAAGCAACTTTTCTGGGGCTACTCAGGACCTAAAGGTTGGTGTGAGTGCTTCAGAGTCTGTGCTGTTTCTCCAAAAAAGAGCAGTTATAGGAGGGGCCTGTTTTGCATGGAGGTGGGGAGGCTGGAGGGATGCAGTTTAATGTGGAGACAATGTGTGGGAGGCTCACAGCTGCTCTGAGCAGTGCCTCACTTGGGTATGACTCCAGCATGGCATCACTCCAGGGTTGTAAAAAGTGAGGACAGTGCAGCTAGGAGAAGCTGATGGGCTCGTCAACACGTAAGCAAGGCAACTGTGACTCATTCCACGTTTATCGTGCAGAAGGCTCATTGCCAGACAGGAGAGGGCACAGGGAGGAATCGCAGAATCAGCTAGAATGTGACCAGAGGAACATGGCTTACAGCCCTTCACTTTCCCCCTGGGATACCTCACCAGAGGAAGGTTCTGAGACCCTCCTAAGGACAGGCTGAGTCTCGAGTATGTTTGTTTCAAACAGAATGTGGATCAGAAATTTTGTAGCTCCTCTTTAAAAGCCAGAAGGGTTGACATGTCAGGGAGCAAGGGCATAGAACATTCTCCCAGATGCCTGAACAGAGTTGCAGTGGAGCAGATATTGGCTCAATGCAGATGCTTCCAAACATGATATGGTATATTCAAAGAGGCAGTGAGTTCCCCATTCTTGAGCTATTCATCAGGAGGATGAGTGCACACCTAACCAGGATGTTTCAGAAGGGAGGAGATTGTGCAGATGAGCTGCCAAAGTCTGTGATTCCCCAATTGCTCCTGAGATCAAATATGTACTGAAGGGTTTGCCTGAATCCTTCTTCTGTTACCACCAGTTCCCAGACTGCAAGGCTCAGGTCCCTAACAGCTTTTGGATGTTTGACCCTCAGAATGGGGATTCTTTTCATCATTCTGCCTGGGGAGAGGGTTGAGGAGAGGTAGGGAGAAGGCTAGAGTTCCTTGGGGGTCCCATAGCCTTACGGGAGAGCCAGGGCAGGCCAGGGGAGGTAAGTACCTTTTCTGGTAGAGAGGCAGCACAGTTGTGCCCAGGATGTAGTAGGTGATGACAGCACACACCACCATGGCCACTCCCAGGCAAAGGGCTCGAGTTTCTCCCCGCTTCTGGGCCATCACCAACTTCTTCCCCATGTCCACTGAGGATAGCAGTCATTTCTAGGGCCACAGAGCAACAGAAGCAAGATGAGCCCAAGTGACAGGTAAACCATAGGAGGGAGAACAGGTGAAACGGGAGCGTACTTCAGTGCCAGTGTTGTTCCTGTTTATACATGGAGCTTTGCAATTTACAGAGGGTTTTTTACACCCCGCAAGCCTCCCACCAGCTTTGACAAGTATCATCATCTCTATTCTGCAAACTATAAATCTGTGACTCAGAGAGGAAGTGCCATGCCCAAAGTCACACTGCATGTGATAGGCACGATAATGTCCCCCAAGATGGCCATGTTCTAATCCCTGGAGACTGTAAATACTATTACATATGGTAACAACTTTGCAGAAATGATTAAATTAAGGATCTTGAGCTAATGGAGATTATCTTGGATTATTCATGTAGGCCGTAAATGTAACCACAAAGATCCTTACAAGAGGGAGGCAAAGAAAGATTAGAAACAAAAAGGGAAGGTGGTACAACCAGGGAGAGAGAGATTGGAGTGATGTGGCCAAAAGCTGGGGCGTGTTGAAAGCCACCAAAAGCTGGAGAAGCAAGGAACCTTGAGCCTCTGGAGGGAGTGCAGCCCTGGACCCTTGGTGACTTTGGACTTTTGACTTCCTGAACTGGGAGATGGTAGATTTCTGTTATTTCAGGCCATCAGGTTTATAATCATTTGTTACAGAAACCATAGGAAACTAATATAATGAGCAAGCTGTGCACTTTCTCCTGGGTCACTCATCTCCTAGAGAAACTTAGATCGTTTCACAGTTCTACAGAGAAAGAGTTCCAGTGCCAGGCTGACTGGGTTGGGGACAGCTTTCAGAGAAGAGGAAGAGGGCCCCAGAAGGCAGATTACCAGGGGAGGCAGGAAGTTCTCTGTAGTCAGGATCCTTAAAAAGAGAGACTGCCCTCTTTATGCCTCAGAAATCTCTTTCTTATTTCAAGGATGAAGCCACCATGGGCAAAAGCAGAGTGGAAGTTGCTTTCTCCCCTTCTTGTGGCTGCATCCCTTCATTTTCCTCCTAGGCTACCCCACCCAATGCAAGCATAGGTTCCCATCCTTCCCCATTAGGTCCACTGAATACTCCCAGGAGCATGAATCTGGACAAACCTTTTCAAAAAAGAGCCCCCAGTCCATGGCTTTGTGAAGCCACAAAGCTGCCCTGCTGAGGTCCCATGTAGATTTCCCATGCATTCTGCAAGCTGCCCAGGGCCTCTCAATAAACATTTTTATGGTTATTTCTTATTTATCTAAGGTAACTACAATGTATTTCTACCCAAAATACCAGGTCTGTGGGTCTGTTCTCTGTGATTCTCCAAATTAGGAGAGATTTTAGCTAGTTATCAGGGAGGACTTTATTTTCCTTTCCAGGTCTCCAAAGTAACACACACATTATTTTTATAAATTAGAGCATATCCAGGAGACAAGCATTAGCCTAGAGAGATTTTTAGCTGAGTGCCTTATTTTCTTTTCAGGCTTCTCATCTAACTGTTGGACTGTTTCAAATGTCCATTCCAAAGTCCTTGTCAACCTTCCCAGCCCAGCCAGTTCTTCCCTTTCATCAGGAGAGTCTAGCCCAGACACCAAGGAAACAACCGTCTCACAGGCAGGTCCATCACCCAGTGATGATGATGTAGTATCTTTCCTAATAGAGACATTACAAAGTAACATAGGGAAGAATTTTTCCCTGCCAAAGACAGATGTTCTGTTCAGTTCCTTTTCCTTCCATTTTCTGGCCTTGTGAAATGGGAAGGCCACAGCATTTTCTCTCTGGTGCCAGCTGAACAAATCCATGCAGGTATTCATGGGTAAAGCAATACAATCACCTGGATGTGTGTGACCTACTTTCCAGGGACTTCCAAGTGTCACTGTCACCTGGCCCCAGGAACGATGGGGCATAAACTTGGGCCCAGTGCCCTTAGCAAAACTCTTCTCCTGGGGAGGCTGGTGCACACTTGCTGGGGTACCTTGTGGAAGGGCTCCTTCCAGTTAATCAGCTCCTTCCCAGATGCAGACTGTTCTGCTGCTGGTTTCCTGAACCTTTCCAGACTCCCAAGGCTGTTGAAGGCAGAAGCCCTGGTTTTACCAGTTCCAGGGGCTCTGGAGGGAAGGAAACAGGAGGCCTTTAGGTCACAGAGAGATCCAGTACCTGTAGCTTGTCCAGGTTCCCCAGACTGTAATGCCATGTTGGGGCTGTTGCCTGTGCTGGAGGTGTACATTTGTAGGGTCGTGATAAATACTCCTACACCCATTCCCATGCATGGAGTTCTGTTTAGAAATAAGACTTAGGTGGAAATTTGGGATTCAGCATCCACAGCTTTACCTTCTGGCAGGAAGAACTGTGAGAAACACTACTATGCCTGAGGCCCCAACAGGAAAAAACAGGTCTCATCAGTAACAGAAGATTTCAGTTGAGTTCCAAGAACATTCCAGTTTTGAAAGGTGCTAATATTTCTGGACTTTTAGGGTGGGTCATCCTATTTAGAAAGGTCACTCTGGGTCTGGGCTGGATTTAGGAAAGATGGAAAAAGGCAAAGGAAAAGTCTTGAGTGCTCCGATAGTTAGGTTGATGTCCTCTTCCTTAGAAGGCTGGGGAACAGAGTATACAGAGTTTGGTAGAGTGTAGGGAAGAGGGGGGTCTGAGATCATCAGACATGGGATCAAATCCTGGCTTTGTTGCTTAGCAACCATGTGACTGTAAATAGGAATGATAGTACCTGCCTCAGAGAGTTGTGATAAAGATCATGTGATATATTGAATATCACTCATTTATCACTGAAGAAGCCCTTGAAACAAATCAGCTATTATTAACAGAGGAAACCATGGCAGTTGGGAGCAAAAGAGTGAAACACTTTTGCCAAGCCTATTTATTTCCTTATGCCTGCACAAGGTGATTGGTGGCCGGACTCATCCTTCTGGCCATTCTAGAGGTTGGGACCAGAGGGCCAGGGCACTGAGCTCCCCAGAGTAACCTAACCAATGTGCCACCCTCAACTGCTGACAGTCTATAGTTCCCAGACACCGGGCCCTCTGGAGCTCAGAATAGGCCCATTAACAGCCCAAAAGGAGGGAGTTCTCACTGCCCCTTCCTCACCCCGACTCAGATCACTTTCTCCATCCATCTGCCCTCCAGTCCCCAGGCTTGGAAAACGACTTCCCAGTGCTCACAGATGCAGTACTTACAGTTCCTTGCTGTCCTGGAGGTCTTCAGCAAGCAGATGATTTCTTTCTTCCCAGACTCCTACCCCCACCCTAAAAGAGGCCTCAGAGCTGCAGCAGAAAGTTTGGCCTCCCAGCCATCTCCAGGGCAGCAGCCTTTGGTCCCCTGTGGGTTGAGCCTCCATGCCCAAACATGGTCAAGTCTGAGCACACAGGATTGCGACACAAACACAAACTCCGCAGAGCAGGTATCCAGCCTACAAACCACAGCCACTTCTCAGGCCCTACACCCACATTTCCCAGAGCCACAGGGGAAAACTGATGTCAAACAACACAAGCCAGTGGAGAACCCAGAAAAGACCATCCGGGTGTATTTAGAAACTTTTTTTCTTTACTCATCTCTCAGAGCAGGCAAAGGAGCCAGGAATAGGAAATGCTTTTCCTTTTGTGGCTTAGGAGAGGGAGGAGGAGATGAGGCCCTGAGGGGTTGGGCTTCTCCTCAATCCTGGTATATTCACAGTAGAGCAGCTAAACCCTCTGGCTTTTGCGCTTTTAAGCTGTGTGACCCTGGGAGAGTCATGGCAACTCTCTGGACCTGTTTCTCACATGTGTTGTTGGTAGTTTTTTAAAAAAAATTGTTCAGAATAGAAATGCTAAGATTTAAGGAAAGGAAAAGGAACTCACCTTTTAAGGATCAGCCAAGCTGAAGCTAAGAATACGGAATGCTCCACTGATGCTTCTGGCCAGCCAGGTCCAGAGACAGCTGGCTTGTCCAGGAATCTCCCACAGACTATTAAAATATGATTTGGGCACATAAGCGGATTTGTTCCTATCAGTAAGCAAGAAAAAAAGCAGCATTTGTAGACAGAAACATGCTTCTAGACTTCCCTTTATTTCCTCATCTGTGAAGTGGATGCTCTTAGAACTAAAAATCAGCATCAGAAACAAACTCATCCTTGAGGCCCTCCTGAGCATCAGGCATGGTACTGGAGGTTAGCCGTCTCTATCTTTCACTTTCCAAGGTGATCAGAGGAAGAAGCTGAAACATAGGTTTGCAGGCTTTAGGTAACTGGGCAGGAGCCATTGCTAAAGCTGGTCCTTCCAGGTGGCAATACTACTGACCCAGTAGGGCTCTCTCCTGACTCAGGGCTACTCCAAGACCTTACATCTTTACCTACTTAGTATAGTCCCTGGCCACCTGAGGTTCTGGAGGTCACCCAGGTGCCACAGTCACCAGCTGGTGAGTGCAGCCCAGCCATCCCTGCTGAGTGGGCTGCATCCTATAGCTGCTGTGAAGCAATAAGAGGACCAGGAAGAAAGATCTGATGTTTAGGCCTCCCTGACACTCTCAGCCACGTAGTGTCTGCTTCATGACCCCTTCCTAATTGAGTCACTCTAACAGGAGAGTCAGTTTTCTATTTAATGAGCAACAGCAAAGAAGAATATTGTAGGACTTGCCTTAGAACTTACAGGCAGACTGACAGTGAGGGACATGGGATCTGGAATTAGTCCCTAGGACTTTGATCATCAGGAGGATTCTTGGTCTATTCAGGGACCAGAACAGTCCTTCTGGTACCATGAACTAATGCAAAAGTGTCAGTCCTCCCTCCTACTCCCCTAGAGGAGAGATAAGTATGACCAAAGGGCTACTTACTTAAAATTCACTAACAAGTTTAGAGAAGGTAACAAGGGATTTATAAACAAATACTAGTATATTTCTGAATGGTCTTCTCTTGGAAGATGCAGTAAAGTACCCGCCAGCTTTTCTGTTGCACCTATGTAAACCACTACCTTCTGTGTTTTTTGAGGAATGAGAGGGTGTCAAAGCTACCCATCTACCCATCTAAGCTACCCACACTACCCATGTAGTGTAGAGATTGTACCTTCCACCTATGGTAAAACCAATCTCATATATTTTGTTTACAATGTGACATCCACATTTTTCCATCAAGAGGGGCATTTCTGTCCTTTTTCCTTCAGCCTGGATAGAACGCTTCAATTGCTATGACATGTTTCAGGTGATAGCCCCAACTGAGATCTCAGCCAGCAACTACTGTAGCATCTCTCATTATACATGGGAGTGAAGGAGTCTGCAGAGTTCCCTGTGTTAAATTCCCCAGCAGAGGCCTCAGAAATCATGGAAGAGAGTCAAGCCATCCCCTCTGGACTCTCTCTGAAATCACAAATCACAAACCCATGAGCACAATAAATGAATGTTTCATGCATTGGGATACATGTTAGGGTGATTTGTTATACAGCCATAGTAATTGAAACACATTTTAAGTGGTTTAAAAGGGGACATGTTGCTTAAAGGTTGGGGAGGTTAGCATAGAGTTTCAACTTGATTGGTTTTGGCATCCAGCCCAGAAATTGTTAAGAGTACACTTCTAGGTGGTCATGGAGGTGTGGCCTTGAGGTCCGTGTCTGGTCCCATGCCCCTTCTGCTCTGGAACTCTTTCCGTTCCCTGCTTCCAGGCCTCTGAAAACTAAGCAACTTTTCTCTACACCTTCTACCATGATGTCTCTGCTTTGAAGCAACCTGACCATGGACTGAAACTGTGAGGAAATTAAACCTCTTCTTTAAATTATGGCTGTTAGGTATTGTGTTTCAGTAACAAGAACACTAATATAAAATATTATCACTAGAGAAGTGGGGTCATTGTTGTTACTTTACCTGACCATATAGTTAGAAGCTGTTATGGCTTAGATCTGAATGTTCCCCCAAAGCCCATGTATTCAGATGTTGGACATTTGGAAGGTGATTGTATCATGGGAGAGCTATCCTCATTGGTGATTAGTCCATTGATGATTCCAAAACTAAATGTGCTGTTAGGAGGTGAGGCTTGGTAGGAAGAGTCAATTCGCTGTGTGCATAAACTGGACAGGGCTTTTCCTCCATTTCCCCCTTGCCTCTCTTCTTCCTGGATGCCATGAAGTAAGTAGCTTTCCCATGTTCTAGGCCCTTCTACCATGCTATTTCAGCTTTGGAGCTGGATGACTATGGATCACAGTATGGCCAAAATAAACCATAATAAACCTGCACTCCTTTAACTTATATGTGTCAAGTATTCCACCTGAGTGATGAAAAATTGACTAAGACAGAGCCTTTGGAACTGATTTGTGGGAGGAATTGGGAAAGATTTGGAGAAGTGAGCTAGAGAAGCCTTAGAATGCAGTAAGCAGAGTCTGACAGGTAATTCTGATCAGACCTCAGAAGATCAGAATGCTGATAGGAATGCAGACAGTAAAGCCTAGGCCTAGGAGGTTTCCTTTGGGAATAAGAACTCCCTTGACAGTTGGACTAGCAACCACGTATGTTACACTCTAGCTTAAAATTTGTCTACACGTTGCCATGTTCTAATACTTCGTGAGAGACTGAGATTAAGAGTAGTAGACTAATTAACCTGGTAGAGGAAATTAAAATTACCCTAAAATTCAGGCCATAGCATGTGTACTGCAGGCTGCTTTTAAGCCAGATTTGTGGTGAGAATTGAGATACAAAGGCAGGGCATAAAAGTTTGAAAAACTTAAGTTTTGGCCCAGAAAGAACAATGTATAAAATTGAGGCTAAAGACGGTATGGCTGCTAAAAAGCTTAGCACCATTAAAAAGAAACCAAGCACTGCCTGTTGTGGTGGCATACACCTTTAATCCCAGCACTCCCATGGCTGAAGCAAGAGGATCACCACAAGTTCAAGGCCAACTGAGTGTGAAGCTAGCCTGGCCTATATAGTCAGTTCAAAGCCAACCCAAACCATAAATTACACAGCAAGATCCTATCTCAAAAAATAAAAATAAAAACCCCAAAAGCAAAAAAGACAAGTATTTTGTACATAAATAAGAAGGATGCCTTGAAAATAAGTCAGAAGTCAGGCAGTTCTCACGTATTACAGATTCAAGGGTACAGAAGTATTCACTGTTCTGTTGGGAAGAGTCTGTGTGACCTTTGCTTGAGAAAGGCCTCCTAGGATTCATTTCACCATACTCAGCCATCCACATATTCAGAGTCCAATATAGCCTTGATCTAAGGGAGCCTGGTTAATGCTTTTACTGACAACAGACCATAGCACTTGTCCACATGATGATAGTTTTACTGGCATGCAAAATGGAGAGTTACGGGGTCAGAGAGGCTTCTACCCAGATTTCAAAGGAAAGCCTAGAAGACCAGGCAAGGAGCTCAAGAGGGCAGTTTATGAAAGAGGGTGAAGTTGAAACTGCAGTGGAGACATCAGCAAGTTTGGTATATCAGTCAGTATTTACTAGAGAAACAGATATAGCATTATATATGAATATATATAAGAATTTACAAGATTGGCTTACAGTGTCCACCCACAGGGTCAGATGAGAGAGTCCAGAGGGTCTGTCTTCACACTGAAGACTGGAGGATTTAGTCAAAAGTCAAGCTTTCTGCAGTGTCCCATGTGAGTCTTCAGGAGGCTAATGGATCTGTCCTGGAAGGCTGAAGAGTTTATGCTGAAAGGAAGGCTGAAGGATCCTTACCAGAAGCCAAAAAGTCTGTGCTTCAAGGCAGGAGATGACATCTCAGGAAGGCGAAGATGGGAGCTCCTCCAAGGGAACAGAAACAGCCATGTCCTTCCTCATTTCCCTTTAATAACATCTAGGCAATGAGCCACCCTAGGGTGGATCTCCCATGCCCTAGGGTGTGGAATTGCTGAGCTGATTTAGCTAAGTTTCTCTTAACCAGACTTCTCAAGTTGACAGTCATTCAACTATCACATTGGGTATGCCAAGGAACATGGAATTTCTGCTGAGGAAAGCTTCAAGATGTAAAGGGAGCCATTCCAAGAGAGGCCATTGGGCTTCAAGCAGCAAGGCCATAAAGGTGGGGCTACCTAAGACCATTGGAACTCACATTTTACCACTGTATGACCTGAATACTGGATATAGAGCTATAGGACATAATGTTTGCCCTACTGATTTTGGTCCTGCTTGGATCTAACTTTTTTTCTCTCTATTCCTCCCTTTTTGAATGGTAGTGTTTACCCTGTGCTATTGTACCTTGGGATTGTGTAACATGTCTTTTATTTCTACAGAGATTCACAGCTAAGAGCTTGCCTTGAGTCTCAGAAGAGACTTTGGTTCTTGGATTTTTTTAAATGCTGAAACTGTTGAGTCTTTGGGAAAGGGATTATTGTGTTTCTGTTTGTATCCAGGATAGTTGTATTATGTTAGGCAGAATCATGGACTTGGTATTTTATTTACCTGGAGATTAAGTATGGTTTAAGGAGATGCGTTTCAGTAGCAAGTTGAAAGGGGGTGGGATGTGGTAGTTAGGGTGGAGTTTTAACTTGATTGGCTTTGGCATCTG